TGCTACTCAAGAAATGTCTATCGCAACTATGGGGATTCGATTAAGCTGTAGTGGTATCTGATCTTAACAACACATAATTATTGGGAAAATTAACATCCGACATGTAACACTAGGAAGTCGACAATGGTGAACGCGGGAACAATCAATCGAATGGCATAGTTCGGTCATGCAGGCATGGTCACTCCATGTAAACTCTTGCTTTTCTACTGAATATATACCCATCTATCCAGCTCAAATGTGTTCCCCAGTAGTGTTAGCACTCGCGTTGCTGATTGACATGATAGGACTAGTTAGCTTAGTAAACGACGTGGCTTCCGCGTAAGATCTTATAAATTAGGTAATCTATTATTATGGTTGCAAAGATAAATGTACTAATGCCAAAATAAACCATAGTTCTACAACACGCTTTAACCAGGTTGTTTTCTGAGACGATACCAGTACGTTTTAAAGAAATCTGTGTGATCATGCTTGTGCGACAGGGGGTAACAATCAAGTAGCATTTCCGTATTGTAACGTCAATAATCACCAGTTAGACGATAATTATTTCTAGGGCAGTATCCAAAGGAAATGCATACTAGATGTCTTAGTGATGAATAGATCTTAGATCTGTTAAGTGATCTGATTCGTTCTTGGCTAGCCTTAGCTATTTCAGAATATAAGTAGTCCTGTATTCATGATGTGATGTGTAACACTGCTACTTACGCGAGTTAGTTGAAGTCGCTCTTTTTACCGTTTCGAGTTTCAGTTGAAAGCATGGATTGATTATATGATCAACCGTGACCAGCTATAGCCAGAAACTATAAAACGAAGTTCCACAAGCAAATCGTTTAATATTTTAATTTGCTAATCTCCGTTCGTTTGAATCAAGACTATGATGTTGTAGTAGGTCCACACCAACGACTAGCGACGAAACGTCTGCAACAATGACGGTCCAGCAAATAGGTTTGCGCAGACCCATGTCAAGATAAAAATATCTCTTACTGCATGTGGCGGTTGGTTTTCCATCTGCCTCCTGTAAGTTGAAGACCAGTGCTCGTTGAAGATAATCAACATTCGCGAGAAAGACTAAATTCTGTGCCAGTGTCAGAGAGATAGAAAACGTTTGCTATCACGTCAGTGATGTATAACATACAGCTAATCCACTAGCTGTATTTGACATTACCGCATGAGAGGTTTGTAGTAACGCAAGATTTTGGGTCTGTTAAACTTCAAGGTTTCCTGCAATTTCTGGAAGATTTACCGAAGATGTTGTTATACAAACACCAATAAAGGTTATCTGCTTCTCTATGTATAAAAGTCGATCTTTTTCGTTATGGACTTTTTCGTGGGAGGTTTGGAGCGTCTAAGAGTAAAATAAATAGTAAGAAAACAAACGAAAGTATCACAAGTAACTGTAATTGCATTCTGTGGCGTTGGAGGCCCTTTTTGACAGAACAAACCTCAATACTGAGGAATCTAGTGGTTTTCAGAAACCGATCGACAGACGCAGTCAGTTTTTATACGGTGTTATTTTGGAACGAAACGAGAAGTAATCTCACCTATTGGGGCAGCTTAGACAAGAACAGCTGTTTAACCATAGAAGTGCCGTTAGCTGAACTCAGATGTACATTTATTTAAGTATTCCAAAACACCACAAAAAAGACCTATTGGGTAAAATCAAGTTTGGAAACTAAAGTTGAACAACTTAGCTACTAAGGACAAAAACAAGCTGAAATATATCCTCTTAATTGGACTGTACCAACAAACAATTTACAAGTAATGATGAAAGCTTTTTTGACTGCGACAATGTATAGTGTGAATAGGTATCAATGGTATACACTTGCGCATCCATTGTTTCATATCAGTAGAATAGGTAACTAATGAAAGCCATCTTTCAAGTGCATGTATAATAATTTGTATTCATGGCTTGAGGATAGAAAGAGAGAAATGGAGGGGAAATAGAAGAAAATTGAATACATTTTAAACCTTGAATACGAAATCGACAATATTATATACCTATCGAATTGACTTAGAGTTTTATCATTGTGCAATTAACAAACAGACTCACTTGAAATCTCTAGGAGGTATTTACTGTTTTTTATGCTTAAGCTACGGTTGACGGAAGTTTCAATTCACACCTGAAACTAAAAATAAAAATACTGAATTTAACCAACAAGTACACAGGTCACTAATAAAGAATTAGTTTATGCATTATGAAGATTTTACAAAATACATAGTTGACCAAGCCAAATCATAATATGCACATGGAATAATCAAGCTTGTCATTAGCTAGTAAGTTTGCAGCAGTCATGATATGTAGCTTACTTACATCCTCACATTGACTGGTCTGACAAAATGGCAAGCAATTCTAAAAATGTTCATCCTCCATTACCATCGTTGTTTAATGGTTCAACGTAATTATATCATACGACTTGCCAAGTCAGGATCAAGATAGCTACTGTTAGATTTTTTTGCACTAAATCCCAAAGATAATGCTAGATAGCATTTATTTTATTAATAACTTCGAAGAGAATACTATTTATTAAGAACCTAAAAAACTTTGGATTAACAAGAAACAGCCTTCGTAGGATCCTACACCGAATCTGGCTTGGTGTAGAAGCAAAATTATATATAATCCCTACTTCTATTTCAGATCATGTCCCACTAAAAACTGAATAAAAATAGGTTCTTTCCCCATTTGTTCAAAGTGAACTCGCAAACAAATCATACGATCATTAACGCAATAGATAATTTAAACCTTTAGATCAGTTGATGCCAACTGAAGACAACTAGGTAATGTTGAAGATGGTAGTTTCTTCTCGTTTTTGGATGGTTTCCCAGTAACGAGCACCCATAAACCCGAATAGAGTTGGACTAAAGACATTCAGATATCGTGGAGAACAAGGTACCCTTATAGTATTTGGTCAGAATGTGCATTGGTCAATAAGTAAATTACACATTAAAATAAAAATGAAACGATATTTGGTAAATTTGAAAACAAAAATGTTTGCCATACTCATATTACTAAATGTAATGATAAGACGAGATTGATGTGATACTGCCATTATTGAAATTGACAAAAATTACTGCTAATTATTTTTATCGGTTTATTTAATTCTGTGCATGTTAGAGATATTTGCTTAATAAGTATTCGAGATGTCTAGTCTATGAGATTGAATACAATATTTAAACAAAATATGAACAATTAATCAAATTCACCTTAGCAGTATACTTAATTCACAGTTTCATACCTGATTAACGTGACCTATTGAGTTGAATTCATTTTCTGTGTGACGATAGTAAAATAACCATCTAAATAATATATGCGCTTTAGTCTACTTAGCAAGAAGGAATATCCAGCAAAATTTATAGACAACTGTACAAACCAAACTTATGTTGTAGTGAACGAGAACTTAGGTGAGAAAGACCAATTTATTATTGAATGCAAACTTAGAGTTCTTTCATAAAATGTGAAAATCATACATTATATACTTCATTTGTAAATCCTCCATTAATTGTCCTTTAAATCATTCACGATTCTCCCAATTCCTTTATTTTCTTCAGTTCTATCTTCTCAACCTCCTGTTGCCAGGTCTTCCATTTCTGACTGGTGTTGCATATCACTTCAAGACTATTAAGGTCCCAAATGTCTTTTTTTCCATTTGGTTAATAAATTGTAGTTCGAACGAAAGTAATCCATTGATGATTTGTGGTTCATATTATCACGATGGTGACATTTACTATTCATTGGTTAGTTACTTTCGCTCCTGACATCTCAATGTCAATACTGTATACAGAAAACCGTTATTCTAAGTCTTTGACGTTTTGGGGAATAGTAAATTTCTTCTGAAATTCTCACTTTTATTCGTGTATGGATTATTAATGTTATAGTGTTATTGTGAATTAGACGTTCATTTGATCAAGTTCCCGTCTTATTAAAAAAACTTTTCAATCGTTCAAATAAACAAATAACTATCAAATCAAAACACAAACATTACTGACATAATTGGAGTTGAGAAGTGACTCCCCAGAAGTTTGACCTTATTAGCTTATTCATCAGTGATTATGGGTTAAAATTACCCCTAAAATCCCAAATCTTGTTTTTCTCGCTTTCTCAGAAAAGTTCCAGACTAAAATTATTCTTAAAAGACCTGTCATTCTCTTACAAGTTATAATCATTTTGTTCTTACCTAGCCAGTATAAGTATAGCTAGTAATTTCGAGGTAGGACAAATAAATTTATAATGTTTTTAACAAGATACCAAAAATAAGCCAAAGGTAAATGTATCGCGAGAACTTAAAGCAGAGAGATTCAGTTGATAAAGGTGAATTCCCAGTTTCTGGGTAATGAATACTTGACAGCATCATTGTGCATAAATTTCAGGACAGAAAAACTGATCTTTATGTTCTCTTGAGCTTCAAATGCACTAATAATTGAAAAGAAGATACTTCCACTTTGATTGTTGCCGTAACAGAGTATTTAATATATGTTTCATTACAGGCTGAAGAATGATGAGAAACTAGAAAATATTCAGAAATGCATGATCTAACTTGGTGATAAACCTGTCATAAGCACCCAGTCTTCCTCTTGACATAATGAATTACAACTCCCTACAAAAACGATGCTACCGAATTCCCACTCAGAGACTGAATGCTATCCTACTCTCACGAATACTAAGCTTTTTACGTTAAATGACTAGTAATTGAGCATTATTGAGCAATTTCGAACTGAAAAGAAACAGATAACCAATTCTTCTTGATTTCCAGTGATTTTTCAGCTGATGCCACAGACCATGGCTTCAAAAAATGATAATATAACACTTTCAGTGAGTAATTAGAAATAGATGTAACTACTTTGTCAAGTGCAGTTTTATGCACTCGGCTTTGAGCCACATTGTTTTTGTGAGGACCAGTGATAAAACATGGTTATCCAAATTGAAATAGATGTAGCGACGTTTCGATCTAGGGCCTACTATTGAAACACCAGCCATCTACCGAATCTTAGTGCAATAACGATAATAGTTTAAGCCAGAGAACAAAAATATTTAAAAAAACTACATGCTGATAATCCGTAGTAAAAACAAAGGGTTAGTGTTAAAGTGAAGACAAAACAACTTCGCATAACATCATTATGCAATACAAAATAAGTAGCCCTAAGAGTTCGTTGATTTATCAATTAAATAATGCAAATATTTCAATATAAAGCTTTAACTCATCAGCATGGCTGTATATAACTGTTTACAAACCAGTGGTAAGTTTGACACCACAATAGTGCACATAACACTGAATAACAAGCATTGGTCATTTATCGTATTTCACAATTTATCAAGTTTGTTTATAAAATGAAAACGGGGTAATGAATGCATTAGTCATAATAAAAGAAATCAAGAAATATTCAGAGATAATAATAATAATAATAACCGACAAAACTTCACGTATAATACAAAACAACTAAACTCGATCCATACAAACATACGTTATGCACAAAACGAATAGAGGTTAGGCAAATATATCAACATATAAACTGAAAAATATGACAGGATTGCACACAAATGTAGTATATCAATATATTTTACAGGAAAAAATATACTCCATAAGGGTGAATACACATAAATGTAAAGACAGATAAAACCTAATTGGTGGAAAATAATTATTTATGAAATAGTTAATCTACAGTCAGTCGATAAAGTACAGGTATAGGAGAAAATACAGCCTTTTCCGAGAAGACACTGACAAAACTAGAGAAAGGGAAATAAATAAACAATGGAATAATTTAGAAGTGTGGATTCGTCGATTGTGAAGTATTTAATTTAAATCCTGACGCACGTACAGGTGTTTGACCTGGAAAGTAATGATTAGCTACACGAGCTGCTTCACGTAGACCACTTAAAAGTGCACCATGCACAGTAGCTGGATAACAACGGCAAGTATGTTCACCAGCAAAAAATATACGAGGATTATTAGTTGGCATAGAAATATCATCACTGGAACTACTAGAGTAATAAACTGGTTCACCAAGAATATCATAATCAGCACCTGTGGCTCCAACAGCAACATATGAGTAAGATCCACGTGAATATGGATCAGTTCTCCATCGCGTGACATATGCATCAATTGGCTAGAATAAATAATTAAATATGGTAAACAATTTAATTGATTCAAAACAAAGGAATGGTGTGCAGAAATCTGTCGTATAAGACTGTCCCGTCTGTTGAATTATTACTCAAGAAAATATATCTAATCCGGTTGGATTAACACCAAATGATTAGAAAATCGATAAGTGATCATTGATTTTTGACAAGGATATACAAAACAGCCAAAATGATGCAAGAAATGTAGTTGTGATGTACAATGAATACAGTTGAATGAGTGATTCCGTACTAGAATAAGAAATAATTTCTTAATATTATATTCATTATAATTGGAAATCACAGACTTCCAGAGCAAAATAAATTTTATTTATTTTTATGATAACACAACACTTCTAGTATTAATAAAACTGTGTTAAAATGAGTAAAATTGACAATAATTTCGTATGAACTCATTTCTAATCACCAAAGGTAATCTGAACGCAGGGTTCTACGACTAGCTTCTTTGCATCATTACCTATGACAGTTGTCCGAAATTTTGATATAACAGTCGAATGTTTTGAACAAAACACATCCACATATTTAATCTGTTCAAAACAGGGGACAAAAGTAACATGTGTTCTAATTATTCAGTAAAACTAATAAATAGCAGACAACTACAAAAAAGGTTTTAAGTCTATGCTAAACGAAATGTAGTAGTCTTTACGGATCTAATTAACAATGGATATGAAGTTTTGAAATAATTTTACTTCGACAACTAATAAGCCAACATTAGTTCAAAGTGAGATCAACAGTATAACAAATACTTTATTAAATTAGCGTTTATCCCCAGCATTGCTTATTTGAACAATATTGAATAGCTTGCTAGTATTTGGAACGCCATTTATTTGGTCTTTTATATTTAAATCATAATACTGAGATTTAGTTGCATGAGAAAAAGATAAAAAATAATAAACCACTTACATTTTTATTTTCAATAAATTAAACTTACATTTGGTATAATAAGTTTCTTCTTTTCTTGATTACTATGCATTCCACCATTACAATTACTAATGTTACTGTTATTATTATTGTTACTAACACTACTACTACCTTCTTGGCTGAAAATACCACGAAGAACTTGCATAGCTCGTATAATAATAGGTTCTTTAAGTCCACGACCTAATAGATGAGATGTTGGTGTGGCAGAATTATTGACTAATGAGTTTTGACCTTTAGATCCTGGTGATAGACGTCGTGTAGGTGAAGTTTTCTCATTTTCTAAATCACATGCAGCACGACCAGCAATTAATGCTATCAATACAGGCTTATCAGTAATTGACCAGAATAAAAATAATTCACCACGCGAATTTGTTGATTCATTCACATGTCCAAATAGATTGTGTGAACGATCCCAAAAACTCTTCTCAAATATAAGTACAACCTAGAGAACGAAAGAGATAATACCGATTAACACTACGTGAATATGGTCATTGAAGTCATGTTCATCGATAGTTGCCAGCAGGACAACGAATCTACACCTAGGTTGGTTTCCTTTGTAAGGTTGAAATTTGCTTTGTTTACTAATTATATTATGATTTTCAAACATACACTGAACAACTTTGATAAACCAATCATCAAAACAAAGCTATTTTTGTATAACATCAAATGTATGGTTAAAATTTACGCAGAGTAATCAGGGTTCGTCGTAATGTCCATTATCAACCGGAACGATGTAATGTTATGATTGAATAGATTAAAATGATAAAAACAAACACTTCAATGAGCAACACGAATTGGTAAAAAAAATACAGTTGGATCCTCCCAGTACCTTGTCTCATTGGGCCACAGAAGTAGTAGAAGACAATATTTAGTCTGTGGTTATGATAAATCATTACTTAGCAAACTTTTGAGCTCCGTACATACATTTTCAGCCAATGTAAAATTATAATGGGAGTGATGGAACGGTGTAAGCCGATTGGTCCAACAGCAAAACGAACTATCCAGTAAAATCACTCAAACCATGTAGCAGCATGAACTGAATTGAATAAATTACTACTACCTTTGAAGCGGACGGTACTCAGAAGGATGTTTGTAAGTAGTGTGTAGCAGGATCTGATGCCGAAGTTACAGCAATTGTCAAACAGAGCGAAGAGTTTCATTGCGTCGACAGCACGATATCGGCAGAGTATTTGGAAACCAGAGGAGTAAACAGTCCAGATGGCAGAATACACCGAAAGATGAAAATGGACGATTGAAGACTACGTATATTTAAAAGACTAATAATTGAACGAAGAATATTCTTTTCGATAAATTCTCTTCAGGTTCTACAATTATATATCCAAATTAATAATCCCTTAACATGGCCATTTTTCGGATTATTAATTTGGATATATAATTGTAGAACCTGAGGAGAATTTATCGAGAAGAACATTCATGGTTTAAATTACTAGTTTTTTAATATGATGGGGATCTTTAAACGATTACATATATGTGTTAAGTAAATATTTTGTAACTTCTTACAACAAATACACTTTCCTTCTGCCTATTTCCTTCTTTACATCTTGTATGGAAATAGCTTAAGATGTTGATATCTGAATAAGTTACATAACATAAATAATTTAGTAATGAACAAATATATCAACAACTAGACTTTCTAACCAACTAACACAAATCGGTGAAAATAACAGTTAACAATAAAAAATCACGGAAGTCTAGTCAATCATATGAATATTATTTTTCTCTAGAAAGAGGCCGATAACTCAACAATATTTAAAATTATAGGAGACAACATCTACTCATAAAATTTTACTAATGAATGGATTAGTAGCAATGAAAATATACATTATAAAACGATCGTTTGTATATTCCAAAAAAGAACTAAAGTTTATAAAGAGTAAATAAATGAAAGAATCAAACTAATACATATTTACGCAATTCATTTGATAAGTACAGATCCATGTTTTCATTCATGTAAGAAAGGATTAGCGCTTTAAAATGTTTGTAATTGGAGCAAGCTCCAAACATGGAATCCTTATGGATGAAGTAAATTTAATAATTGTTCTCAACACACAGGTATTTCTAATAAGAGGTTTAAATGTTAGCTGATTGGAGAAAGGAATCCTCCAAATCAAACAAAGTGGTAACGTGATATCAGGTCATTTGAACTAGTTATTAACAATGACCGCGTAGCTGATAGAATTTGAACAATACCAAAGGACTAGTACAGTAAAACAATGTCGGTTACTTACTCATTGATCAGTTAGTCAACATCTTTCAACAAGAAAAATATTAAATAAGACCTGATGTTCTAAAATGACAGCTAACACTAGGTAAAGAAGAGGAATAGTAAACTAGAAGTCACTAAATCGAGATAATAACACGAACACTGTTTCTGTCGTCTTTATCTTACAAATATTAAAAGCGTAATAGTAATCAAACAACAAACTCGTAGTATATTCGATCCTTGCTCCTGTTTCGATTTGGGAAGCCGATTAATATCTTCCGGCCCCGTGTATCCAGTGTAATGTAAAACTGACTGCACAAGGTTGTATTTAAAAAATGAGTAATACAATCTAAAATAAATACCAATATGTCACTCGGTATACATCTTTGTATTATATGTAATGCTTACCTTATTCAATACACCAAATCCTAAACGCTGAATAGCTGAGATTTTCCAATCAGGCAAACGTGGCTCAAAACGTGGTACAACTAATTTTGTAAGACAATTGTTAGATGATTCATTTGTTGTAATTTGTGATTGATGCATGGTTGTTTCATTATCTTGTTGGATAATTTCTTTTAAGATACCTAATGGTAGAGTACAAATTAAAGCATCTGCTTCATATTCAATTAAATCATCTTGACTAAATGCCGAATTAAGGACATCCACTTGAACACCTGTAAAACAAAAAGATATTTTGATATTAAATTATACACCAAAAATCTTCCTTGTGTATATATTATACGTAAATATGTTGCATAACATGACAGAATGAGAAAAGTGAAAACTATTCATATCTTGAGTAATCTTTTATTCTCTGAGCTAAGTTAATTTATTTTTCAGTAATAAATATCATAATTGAGCTTCAATGAGAACATCAACATTGAGGTGCAAGTAAATTCAGATGACCAGTTTCAAATAGGAAGAAACGCTCGTTATGTATACCACTATCGGGCACAATCAAAATATTCGAAAGTGGTTTATTTATTATCTCATTATGCTGTCCAGTATGACAATGAAAGCTTAACAATTAAACCGTATTATATTATTTATTGTAAGATTTAAAAACAATCCAGCTATAAGACAGACAACCAACACTGATCAAGTTAAGCTTACTGTATGACGATGTAACTCATCAGACACAGATTCATGTACTCGGTTTTGAATCACTGTTTGTGTAAAGGTTAGTGGGACTAACCAGATGTCACAACCGATATAGGTGAAACAGGGTTTGAGCTCACGACCTACGAGTTAGATGACTGTTTTAACGGATACGGTACTGTAATATATATATGCTCTAACACATGCATGACCGAAAATTCATTGTGTAATGTAAAATTTGATCATCCACTATTCAACCATTAAGCAAGCTTAACTTAAAAATGATTTTTTCAACATTAGATTTAAAATAAAATTCGTGAATATCTTACCTCTTTAAATTCATATCATTCGAATTTCTTCAAGAAAATTACTTACGCCTGTTATTCCTCGTGGAGAAACACAGGCCGCTCACCAGTATTCAACATCTAACTGTGTTCTGGGCAAACCTTTCCAGTTGCTATTCATTGTTTTGTTGTCTGCATCCAATTCGCGACGCAATGGTCTTCGGTCTTCCTCTTTTCTTCTTTTCCTCAGGACTCCAGGCTAGGGCTTTCCTCCTGATGCAGTTTGCTGATTTTTTTAATGTGTGTCCTACTCACCCCAAGTGTCTTTTCCTAATTTCCCTCGGCTGGAAGCTTGTTTGTTCTCTGCAACAGTAGGTTGCTGTTTATAAATACTTGTGCTTTTTAGATGATGGTTGTAGTAGTTTTCCAAGCCTCGACTCCATGTATTTGAACTGTCTTGACGTCCGTCGTAAGATTCTGACTTTGATGTTGGTTAACAATCTTTTTGAGTTCCACATATTCTTCAAATGAAGGAATACTGCCCTTGTTTTGCCAATCCCTGCCTTGATATTTAAATCAGATCCTCCGTGTATGTCGTTGGTGCTGCCCAGATATGTGAAAGATTCCGCATCTTTCTGAGCTTCTCTATCAAGTGTGATTGGATTGGTGTTCTCTGTGTCGCATTTCAGAATCTTTCTTCCTACCTTGTTTCTGTTGAGGCTTACTGTTGCAGATGCTGCTGCTACACTGGCTGTCTTCCTCTGCATTTGTTCGTGTGTATGTGATAGAAGATCTAGATCATCTGCGAAGTCTAATTCATCTAGCTGCATCCAAGCTGTCCATTGCATTCTGTACTTTCCCTGGGATTTGTAAGTTTTTATAATTCAGTCAACCACCAGGCGAAAGAGGAAGGGCAAGAGTGAACAGCCTTGTCTGACATCGATCTTCACTTGGAATACATCAATCAGATGTCCTCTATGCACGACATTTCAGTATAGTCTATCGCACGAATACCCTATGGTGTTAATAATCTTCTCACGTATACTATAGTGTCGAAGAAGGTCCCATAATGTTCTCCTATCCACACTGCCAAACGCTTTATCATAATAAGGGAATTTGATGTATAGTGACGAGTTCCATTCAAATGATTGTTCAACAATGATTCTTAGTGTCGCGATTTGGCCTGTACACAACCGACCTTTACGAAACACAGCCTGTTAATCTCGAAGCTGAGCGCCTACTGAATCTTTCATCTGGTTCGACAATACAAAACAAACGTTCCCTGATACTAATACTAGTGTGGTGCCTCTGTATTTCTGACAATTTCTCAGATCTCTTTTCTTTGGTATCTTGATTAGGTATACTACTTTCCAGTTTGTCGGCACTTGTCCTTCCTCCCAAGTCTTCCTGAATAAAATGTGGAGGATCTTGACAGTTGCTTCTACGTCTGACTTTAGTGCTTCGACTGGTATGTTGTCAGGTTCTGCTGCTTCCTCACTCGTGATCTGTCTGATGGCCATGATGATTTCTTCGATGGTTGGTGAAATGACAACTATAGGAAGGTCTGTGTGTGTTGTTTCGATGTCCGGTGAGTTCAGTGAGGCTGGTCTATTCAAGGGTTCTTCAAAGTGGTCTACCCATTTGTTTCTCTATTCTTCAATCTCAGTGAATGGCTTGCTTTCTGTGTCCTTAACTGATCTCTCAGTTTTATTATATTTCCCTGTCAGTTTCTTCGTTGTCATATAGTTGTCTCATGATTCCTTCTCTTGCAACTTTTACCACTGTCGTTGCTAGGTCCTTCATGTATTTCTGATTTTCCACTCCAATGCTCCTCTGCACTCTCTTGTTTGCTTGTGCATATTCAGCTTGTCAGTCAGTCAGTTACAACGTAGGACTAGGCACATACATGCATCTGTCCAAGTTGCCACACCTCATTAGCACAGCAAGACGAACACGGGATTCATAGAAGCAGTTAACTCAATGATGTAATATATAAAGGAAAGATTTTAAGTAAGGATATAATGCAGATAAAAAGAATTAGTTCGTCGTAAGAAAGATATGAAATAATTTTAACCTCATAGTTTAAGGGAAGACAAAGAGTGTATACACCGACGCCATTGTGATCGATTCTGAGCAATGTCACCAAGAGTCTCCAACCATTGGTTACGATAGTCACGCGGACCCCAACCAATTAGTCTACATTTATTTATTATTAATTTATTTGAACACATATATATTGGTACAGGAGTGCGCCAAATATATATGCGCTACACAAAACAATGAGAATTTAAGAAAAAAATGAGGAACGTAAAAAAAATTTGAAAAAAAAACAATAATGAAGAGATTGGTGTAAGGTAGTGTAGTAATAATAATAGTAATAATGAGGGAACGGAAAGGTACGATCAGAAGAAATCTTTCAGTTAAGGGAGACACAACCACGTTTTATGAATAAAGTAAAAGAAGGTTACAGCAAGATCGCCACTGGCTTCTATTCTGAGCCATATCTGATAACGTCTCTAGCCACTGTAGCACCATCTCTCGGACCCCAACCAGGGAGTCGTGAAGGTCCAATAGAAGCCAGTCCTTCGCAGCTTTCTTTCACACCACGACACTATGTCATGCACTGACCACCTCTCCGCTTCTTCCAACCAGTCCCAGAGTCGGCAAATAATGCACGACGTGGAATTCTCTGGGACAACATTCGTAGAACATGTCCAAGCCACCGAAGTCGGTGTTTCAAGATGGTGACACCAATTGAATTATCATCTCTGTGCCCGAACACACGATGCCGAAACTCTGCATTACTAACATGGTGTTGCCACTGGATGTCAGCAATCCTTCGGAGACAACGATGATCGAACACAGAGAGTCTTCTAACGTCCTCAACTCGGAGAGGCCAGGTTTCACAAGCATAAAGCAAGACTGCTCTCACCGACGCGTTCTAGACCCGACCTTTTGCGGCCAGACTAACATCACGAAGGCGCCAAAGGTGGCCCAGATTGGCATAAGCCGCTCTGGCTTTCACTATACGTGCATTGATCTCATCACTCACACCCCCACCAGCACTTATGCAGCTACCCAGATACGCGAACTTCTCAACTACTTCTATCTGCTCACCATCCAGGGTGAGTACAGGGTTAGAATCCTGCCAGTCTTGTAGAAGTACTTTGCACTTCGAAGGTGCAAAGCACATACCGTACCTACGGACACTGGTTGCCAACTGATTAAGCGCGAATTGCATGTCTTGGGGATTATCGCACAGTAAGACAATATCGTCCGCATACTCAAGGTCGAGAAGTCTTTCTCCAGGCAACAGATCCACACCACCATTACTTACATCCATCAGAGCTGTTTCCAGAATGTCATCGATGGCAAAGTTGAAGAGGAATGGTGAGATTGGGCAACCCTGCTTAACCCCACTGCTCGAATGGAACAATGGAGAGAGGTGGTTGTATACCCTCACTCTGTTTGAGGTGTTTGTGTATAGGGCTTTTAGGATGTAAATAAACTTCTCAGGCACACTCTTCAATAGAAAATCCCAGGGAACTGTCCTATACAACGAATCGAATGCAGCCCTGATGTCAAGAAACACTACGATTTTTGGCCTTTGATAAGTATGGCGGTGTTCTAACATTTGGCGGAGGGTGAAGATATGATCAATACATCCTCAACCAGAACGAAACCCAGCCTGCTCCTCGCGAGTCAATCTTTCTCGGATTTTGAACAACCTACGAAGTATGACGGAAGCCAATAGCTTGAACGCGATCGGAAGTAGACTTATCCCCCGATAGTTGTTACAGGAACGACGTGAACCCTTTTTAAAGATAGGGACAACTATCGACTCATTCCATGACGTTGGTATGCTCTCTAGTTCCCAAACCTTTGTAAATAACGTCGTCAATTCCTTAGTCAGAAAGTCGCCACCATCTTTAAAAGGAGCCGGAGGTAAGTCATCTGGGCCAGGTGATTTGTAGCGCTTCAAGAGTTGGAGTTCCTTGCGGACTCCCGCCTCATTTGGTGGGTCAATCGTCACCTGCCATGGAGGGCAGGACAGTCTGACCGATGTTGCCGGAGCAGCAGGCCAGTTGAACTGTCCTTCGAAAAATTCTGCCCATCGTCCAAGACGTCGATGGATGTTAGTGATTGGCATCCCGTCATCCTCGCAGATTGTTTCGCTCACACCAGACTTCTTGCTGCCAGTGGCTCGGATGAGTTGGAAGAGCTTCCGGTAATGACCAGATGCAGCTGCTGCTTCCAGCTCATTAGCACGCTCCGACCACCAGGCTTCTCGGTCCTTACGCAAGCTTTGCCCAATTTCCTTACGTAACATCCTTCGTTTGTGGTCAAACTCACGGTCACCCGGAATAGACCGACGGGTTTCAATGAGTTGTAAGGAGCCTGAAGAAACCCAGTGCCTATGGGCGGGACGTTTCGCGAACCCACAACTGACTGTACCCGCCATTTTCATGGCTTCATGCAATTGCAATCAATGCTCATCTATTCTTTTCGGTGGAATGGTAGCTAGCCTAGAAACTAGCTCGGTTCGATACTTACTAGCAACAGAGGTTGCAACCAGCTTGCTAATATCAATCCGTTGATGGCGGTCAGTTCGTTGGCCACTGAAAAGTAAGACAAGATTGGCGCAGACCAAGGCATGGTCAGAGTCCAGATAGGTACTCCAAAAGGAGCGACAGTCTTGTACACAACCACGCCAGCGGTAGCTGGTCGCGATGTGATCAATCTGAGTCCAGGCTTGGGATGTAGAGGAAGGACGCCAGGTGGCACATCGGCGATGACTGTGCCGAAAGTTAGTGCTAGCCAGAAACAGGTTGTGGTCTGTGCATAGTTGCAGTAGACGGTCCCCGTTATCTGACCTGCGACCAACGAGTCCCCATCGGCCACCTAAACAACTCTCTTCTGTGCCTAGACGCCCGACCTGAGCATTCAAGTCTCCCGCTAGTACTATAATATCTGTCGAACGCGCTTTCTGGAGAAGAACAGATAACTGGTGGTAAAACTCATCCTTGATTGCATCCGGGCTGCAATCTGTCGGGGCATAGGCGGAGATGACGAAAAGACATCGTTTCTCACGCCGATTTCTTCTCACTTTGATGGAACTTTCTAATTTAACAGCACATAACCGACTGTTAGTGGGGATCCAATCGATTAGTGCTGCCTCAGCTCTAGCGCTTAGTGGGACACCAACGCCAGCAAGACCAGACGAAGATGCCATAGGGTCCCCGGATAAGCGCACGTAAAACAAGCTTTTCGAAGCGACAGATGGAGGTCGAATTTGTAGTACTTCACCAGAGTCTTGAATACGGGTCTCGGATAGACAGCAGACATCGATATTAAGACTTTCCAAAGACATAGCCAGCCCTATCTGTTGTCCAACCTGCATAAGTGTGCGAACGTTGAAGGCAGCCAGTTTGAATGGTGCACGTGGTTTCAGATAAACTGCTTCTGTACTCATATCCAGTGGCAACGTACAATTTTCAACCGGACAGTGACTCGAGAACATTTAGATAGAGTCGAATTTCCACCATAGACGAGCTGCTGTATAAGTCGAAAAAAAAAATAAGTATAGACAGAGTAGGAATAAAAGCGGATGAATAATTATGTAGTAAATAATAATAATAATAATAATAATAATAATAATAATAATAATAATAATAATAATAATAATATTTGAATCATTTGAATGTTCGTCGAAGCAAGAGAATTAGTTTCCATGATCATAGACAGTTCATTTCATTAATTGTGTGTGGGCTGTGATACTGCCCGGGTGCCCAAACCGAAGCAGGTGGTTTTCTTAAGGGGCCACACCCCGAGCCCTTGACCTAATGGTCTAACCCACAAGGCAGTGGAGCATCGTAAGGAGATGCAGTCCCATGGTAGCCGGTGACCGAAAATTGGTTCATACGCCATTTGTTCCCGCAGGATACTGGAGCCCATGTGAACCATTGGTTTGGGATCCGGTTAAAGCGCCGGACATTCGCTTTTCGTCCTCTCATCTTCGTAAACAACACTTCCGCCACGAGAAGGCAGTGAGTAGGACTTCCCTGGCAGAGGCTGTATACGCGTGACCGTGTGAGAGTATTTCGAGAAGGGCGAACCCACCCCGCTCTCGGCCATACCAGGGCATTTGGGAGCTATTTTAGGAAACCCTGGACCCGGGTTTCGTGCTGCTTGGCACTCGTCAGCAAGGTGTACACGTAATCTTGAGGGAACTGGTGCCCCTGGTGGATTCGATCTCGTGTCACCCAGCTTCTACTCTACATCCACCAACATGACTCAGACTAGAAGTTAGTGACTCCAAGCACTGATGTTACGTTTTGGTTTGGCCGCCCCTAACTTTCTTCTAACCATCCCCAACACTGGTTAGCGTTGCATGTCGTAATAATCGGTGTTTAGGCATGCGTAACACGTGGCCCAACCATCTCAGTCGATGAAGATCCACAACCTCATCAACTGATTTATCATCATTCCCTAATACCCTGAATCTAAACTCACTATTACTTACCTGGTGATCCCACCAGATGTTGGCAATATTTCTGAGGCATCTGTGGTCAAATTGTTAATGATATTTGATGAATATGAAATAACCATCCTTAACTCTACTATCTAGTCTTCTTTTTGTCATTATTATTGATGAAGTAAGGACGTAAAATCACTCGATGTATAGTTAGCATTTGAATGACAATTTATAATCACTTAAAATCTGACAAATCTATTTTACAAAATATACGAATTTGAATATAAAATTTACCTGTATTAGAGTAAGAAATACGTTTAACTGTACTTTTCAATTCAATATGACCAGGTCCAAGTTTATAAGTGGATGAATTTGATGACGATGTTGTTGTTATTACAGATGTAAGATGATTATCACGAGGTTTTAATCCAACTGTTAATGACTGACCAGATGTAATAAAATGTGCTAAATTATCGGTTACTGATCCGTAACCGTCTTGTAATACGCAATGATCACCGCTTAATTCAAACAAATCATCTTGATCCCAATGACGTAATGATAAATTATGCAATTCTGTGGCATTGGCAAATTCCAAATTAGCTAAATGCCAATCAAGTATAGAACGTTCTTCTTTGGTTAAATACATATCTCTGAAGGAAAAGAAAGTAAAGCGACAGAACAAAGAACATGGATTGTATGAACAACCAAAAAGATTGTTAATGAGAAATTCATTGAAATAACAGAGAAAATCAGTGATAGGATGTTTGAACTTGTCCATACTAAAACGGATCGAGTCTATGATTGAAATAAATTCATACACTATCCATTTACACATATACAATAGTGTCAATAGTAAATATTGATACCGGTCAAACTAAGGAATAAAACTAATAATGTGGACAGTACAAAGGGAATTAGAAAAATACCAACTGTGGCAGATAACAGAAACTGGCTTTCTTCCATTACACTTCAAATCTTGTTTTCCTATAATGTTTTAATCGTTCGGTTTCTCTTTAATTTCACTGTTTTATGGTAAATAATAAGAATTTAAATGGACAGCTTATCTCAAGTTTTATGATATTTCAGTCAGTTAGTCAGTCAATCGATCGATCACAGTATATATATATATATATATATATATATATATATATATATATATATATATATATATATATATATATATATATATATATATATATATATATATATATATATAATGTATATCATGAACAGTGATACAACCCTGGGGGGAGTTAACCAAATCGAAATAGATAGATGCGGAGGTAGTATTCAAGACTGTGACTCGATAGTTAAAAATCGAGCACTTTACAAACATTAAGCATGATAAAACTAAGAAATATTTAATAATAAAGTTTATCGGATACAAGTTTACTCATGAATTTTTGAGTCATATTAGCTGTATATGGGCTGGTCAAACTAAAATGGAATGTTTATTAAAAATGTACTCGGAAAAAATTACTGTGTTGGACTTTCAGTTAAGCATCTTAAATTAAGCTTAGATTTATACAAAAGTCGGAAATAGGTTCCCTTTATTGATAATTTTATTGTGTGTGTGATTCCTCTCCTAAGCTGGGGAAATATGGGAATTAAGTACGTAATTTTTGTCAGTAGGACATTTACAAAATATATTAATTTTTAAAAAAACCAAAATTTGTCACGTGACTATTCAGTCTAGGCAAAAAAGTTGATATAATGCTATTTATAAAGTAAAACCTTGTGGTCCTAAAGATTTACGTTCAAAATGAATAAAAAGATTGATTTCCTCACTCTATCAGTATGTTTCTTCAGTTTATACATAATAACTCTATTTCCTGAGATATTTTTAGAGGACTTTTTAATGAAAATATTAAACCATGAATGACATGGCCAGAGTTGTACAGATTTGTCATTTTAGTGAATATATATGCATATACATTAAAAAAATAATTTGGTTGTCCCCACCTGAGTTCTCTTTCACAACATACGTATATATGTATGTATATACATAATTATTGATTATACTGATCAAATTATTTTCAAGGTTCAACAAATCTGAATAATTTTATTTCAAAGTTCAATAATGTGTCAATTTATATTGCTTAATTCAGTGACATCAAGTAATTATCTATACTAATGAAGGGAGTGTTGAGCAGATTTTCAATTTGTAACCTAATAATAGCGGCTGGATATTTTGATCAAAGCAGAACGTTATCTATATCATAGTTATTATTCTTGTCTATGAAAGTTGTAGGACTAATGAAGCCCACTGAATATATGCGAAATAGATATCTACAGAGGCTTTACCAACTTTTACAATTTCGTATAATTAAATTAAGTTTATTACTTGTAGCCAGTTTATGAAAAGTAACATTAAAAGTTTTTCTTTCATTTTACCAGTAGTGAAGTAAAACAAGTTTATATTGATAGCTCGCCTGATAAATAATCCAGCGAAGCTATTTAAGTTTCCTTTAAAACAAAAGCATGAATTACCATGTATTTTGGTAATCCCAGTAACGATAACAGAACAGCTCACAATATTTCCTCATTAATCGAACCTTATAAGACCTATTTACCAATGATTACTTATTTAATACAATTTAGGAATATAAAATGTATTAATTTATTCTTATTTTCTAATTATCATCTTAAAAACATTCTTCAAAATCTCCAACATTTTCAGATACATATTAAAATAGCGATTTCCTCAAAACAAATGATATTATATTAAGCTAGCAGATGAGATTAAATTACCATATTTTTACGGACTGCAATCTATGGTACACCCTTTATCACACGGTTGAAAATACATAGCCCTCTCAGCAAATACACTAAGTGGACAATGAAACTTTTCTTTAAAACGTGAGAATAATCCAAGAAGTTTATAAAATGGTAAGAAACATTTGTGGAGATAACACATTAAAGAAAATAGAGCCTCTCGATTGAGCCGATACATTTAGTAAGAGCCGTAAGGACTACGACGATGACACGAGGTCAAGATGACCATCCAATATCTGTGGTCTCTTGTGCTTAACGATTGTCGATTTACAGTCCGATGGCTTTTGGTCAACTGAGTTAAAGATAGACATTATCTGTGAAAATTATATTTGAAATAATTTCAGCGATTGAAATTTTAATAATTCCAGCGTTCAGTCCAACAAACTTGTCTCTATATTCGGCGCTCAATTTTTGTCAAAATATTCGTTCTAATACTGATGAATATTCGTATGAATTAGAGATAATTGTCTGTGAATGCAATTTTATTGAAACATCAAATGACAGTCTAAATTAAATAGTCTTTTAAGAATGCTTCAAATAATGGAAACAATCTAAAATTACCAGATATTATAATCATTTAACATATATATAGTTGCATGTACTTACTTCGGTGGTTCTTGAAGTAATATATCTAATTGCTTATTGACTTGAGACAGGGCAATTTGAAGTGGTTGAAATTTCTTCCAAGCTTCATGTAAATGACTAAGTAACTGGCGAACTTCGAATTGAGCGCTAACATTAAATACTGGTAACGAAGGACGTTGAGATAGATCAGTAGCGGAGGATAATCTTACCGCATTGTTATCAGCTGATCTGATGAAATCGTTATGAAAATGGGAAAAAGACGATTAGAGGAATCACCATAGTATATGTTATATAGAACAAATTGTCATAATACATTTACTTTTAAATATCAACCATTCTGCTTCTATGAGATCAAATTATTAGTATTGATATTTCGATTTTTGCATAGTAGTTGCCTTTCCATTATTTTTATGCACTCATAAATGTGTGGCTAGAAACGGTAGTTTTAGATGCGCTAGTGGGAACTTGGACTCGGCCCCCTAAAACTGCATTCCTACTGGCTGAATCACAATGCCACTTTAAGGCACTGCGTAAATAACTGTGTTTTTTATTGTTTCCTTCACTATCCAATTTATCCATTATTTCAACTGTTATTAGTTGGATTTAATAATAATCCAGGATAATATGAACCTGAGCTGTACAGTTGGGCTATATGAGTTGTTTGGTAAATTCAGAGTAGCAGCTTCTTAAATAACATAACACTTAATAGTATTTCTATATTTCATTTTTTAATAACTACAATAAATTAAATATAAATTTTTCGTTCAAGTTCGTAGTATGAATATCACAGCTGTGAGAAAATTATTAGGTTTTGTAATTTACCATACGCTGTAGGTTTACAATTCAGTTGAATACTGTAAATTAGAAAGCGCTAGAAGCCACCGGTCTTATATTTGACTGTTGACCGGATGTACTGAATGAGAAATTTGACAATGTACTACATCCATCTTCATTTAACACGAACAATATACGCAAAAAACTCTAATTGAACAAATAGACTTCGTCTATTTACTTTTATGCAAATATTTATGTATTGAGTTGCATATATATAGACTGGAAGAGAGCCAAAAACTTTTTAATACGTGGCAAAAAAGTCAACAATAAAATTAACTATGTGTAAACATATTCATCAGAGATCTCGAAATGAATTTTATGAATAATAACCAATAGGCCATGTATAGAACAAAAACGGTGAATCAATAGAAATTATGATCAATTATTGATTACTTTTGTGATCCATTTGATGAAGCTGATTCAATGACTAGTTTTCCATCTAGTTCAGTACTACTGGAACGAGGTGAACATGATGAATCATTGCGTACACGAGATTTATTTTGCGTAGGATTTTGTGTTTTAGATTGTTGAGTATAGTGATGGATTGGTGACGATTGGTTATTTAATGCTTTTGATGCTGAATGCCACTTTTCATAAGCTGCTTCAATATTTTTACGTTCAATAACCATCTATGGAAAAGAAATAAAGATTTGTACAAGATCTAGCCAAAAGTGGCTATAAATGTGGAAGACTGCAATTGAAAGATTGGGCATAACTCAAGAATGGTAAGTAGTATAATAATAGTTTATAGGTCAAAATAAAGCTTGTTATAAGAGGGGTATAGATATACATAATCTAGCCATTGAATAGTTATACAATAAGAATATACGTATAATATTTGTCCATAGATAATTATCAAAAGTTACCATTCATAATTCTCGTCGGGATGAGTAAATCAATCTACTTTTGACTTTTCTTCCCGTCATATCAGTATTCAAACCAAAGGCTAGCTGTGTTAGGGATTTTGACTATACATATGGTGTAAAGGTCACAAATACCAAAGTAAACTATCTGTTCATTAGTTGAGATTTTAATTACAAATCTATGAATCAGTGATTATTAACCAAAACAGGTACCTACCAACCGATCTGACATTTCTTGTGTGCAACAAAGCAGAGAGATTAAATATTAAGTCCATGAATATTATTAGCATGAAGTAATGTGATGATATATAGAGCAGTAAGACTTCAACAATTCGTAACAAATGTAAGAGCGAAAGCTTAGTCATTCTCAAGAGAACTTTCACTACCGATGGAATGGATAAGTTCATTTTAAACGTTGTATGTATATAGAATTGCAAACGACCTTGGAATAAATAGGACAAGGAAACGTATTGAGGGAATAGAAAAAGTCGTCGTAGGAAATATGAATTATCGACTCGTAGAAAAATTTTGGCCCACAAAACTAAGGATTCAAATTGCGAAACTAGAAATAGATCATTTCCAAAGATTTTCGGATTGGTATTAATTATAGATACTTAATTACTCTTGTTACTCCTTCTGGAGGAACATAGCCCGCCCACTAAGTATAGCTAAGTATAGGTTAATTCCGTTGTTGTTAGGTAATAGCTCCTCATTTATAAAATTTACCATACAAGAATAAAACGAAAGATCGGCATTTTATAAATCGGTACAACGATATATTAAGCCCTCTAATTACATTCAAATGTGTACTTCATAAATTCTTCTACGTCCAAAAGGCGTGGAACGATTAAACACTCTAATATGAGGTCGATAATTTATGTAATAAGTGTCATAGTGTAAAAGTAAAAACAGAATGTTTTTATTAAGTTTTTACAAAAAGGAATTCGAGCTAAATTTTAGATCGAAGACGGAGAACTACACGAAGCTGTATTTTTTGACGCCTACTTCAATATTTACACGAATAGAAATTGTATATACATTTAAATAAAACAAGTGGCATCTATATGATATTTATTTACTGATTAACAAGTCGCTTTCACTAATTTCGATGCAGACAATCGACAACTAACTGGTACAACTTAAGAAATACTACGATAATCAAAATAATCTATATAATCATATAAAACAATGGTAATTTTTATCTAAAGTTTTATCTAGATGTGCATTGATTAAGTCACTCGAATACTCAGTTATGATATGTTTATTATCATTTTTTAAAAACATATAGGTCATTAACTTGTTCTACGTGTACAAAAATCCAGAGAGAAATAGGGTAAAGGTATTGTCTTCATTAAATACAAATAAACAAGAAAGCTATTAAAATCGGTTATTTAACTGTAAATATGCAGTAATTAGAATCAAAAACATGCGTTTCATCAATTACAAGTCGCATTGACAAGTTCAACAGAGAAATACATACAAATTTTTAAGGAGCAAAGTCGATTGTTATAAATAGTTCAAATTAGAAATATAAACTTCAAATCATTATGAATTAAAAATGCAGCGATCGTTATTACATGGTTTACATCATCTACGGAGTACGAGTGTATGTACTCAGATATTTAATTCATAATTTTTGTATAGGGACTGATGATGCTAATTAGCTGTCCAAACAAAAATAGGTAGAGTTGGATTCAGACTTACAATTTCTTGATTACAAAAACGGTTGTTTAAATTTCTAGGCAACCATTCCACTGATTACAATGAGAAATAAAGGAAATTGAATATAATTTTCACATAGACTTTAATTTCTAATGGGAGAAAGAGCATGTATATACTTGCTCATTCAATTAGTTAATTAATTTTGCAGTGAACAGAACAATAAATTAAGAAATTTGCCATCTTTCCTACCCTGAAAGTTCTTCCGAAAGTGGCAATCGGATATGAAACTAAAAGCCCGGTTAAAGAACACATATTCGTCTGAATAAAAGTCGGAATTTCTTTACATTAATTTACAAGATTCCATTGACATTTCTAGAGGTGATCGGAGAAAAAAAACAAGAGACAGAAAGATCTCTTTCACATCAATGAATGGTCAGTTTGAAAAACCATTATTTATTATTTCTTCAATAATTCGTGCAAAAATAATAAATTGTGATAATATCAATATCATGGGATACAATCAATTCTTTTTTGTAATACACTCATCCTTCTTTTTTATTAACTCACCTGATCTAATAGAGAATTTTTACGATCTAATAATTGTGAGATCAATTTACGATGTGTTATTTTCAACTGTATTTTATGCTTTTCTTGATATCTATAATTTTAAAAAAAGAAAATAAGAATTATAGAAATTTCTTAAGAAAATAGAAAACAAATTATTATTAAGACAACAATAGGAGGCATTTAACATATGAAGAAAACTGTAGTAGAGGTAATACGAAGAAAAAGAAGAATATAACAAGGTGTGTTTTGTACAGACTTATATAATTTTCATTAAGAACTGACATTCAATTATAGTTAGAAGGAACCAATGAAAAATGGGGAGAATCGAACAAATGGTTTGTCCAAGTATGGGACTTCTCAATGATGTGTATGAATCTACAACTACATAGACGAGATCGAACCCAATAAGTCATCATGAAGTTGAATCAAATGGTCAACATTTTGAACATCAACTAATTTTTTGATGTAGCCTAGCTCTTATCTAATGTAAAAGGTGGCACATCGTTGTACAATCAACTGTTTGTTTACTCTAAACACAGGTCAAAACATTCAACTGCTATAATATTAAAAAAATCATTTTGTACGCGTGCTAAAGAATACTGACCCTTATGAGAATATGGTGATTTATTTTACTTTCAATTATAGTGGTGCTTACTGGTGTCAAACTAGAACTAAACGGCTATTTAGTAAACTTTTCAATGATTCTCTACCTAAATTTCATTCAATGAAGAGAATTATATTCAAAAATAAACTATGGCGGGATTATAATTATTGTTCCTAACGAAAAAATAATAATAATAATGTTATGTTAATTAATAGAAATTATTATACGAAATTAGAAACAAAAAGTGGAAGAAATAATCAAATGAAAACTGTTAAAATTCACTTTTATGTAGTACACTTAATCTGTTCTGAATTTATCATTAATATTGGACATGTATTAAAGTAACTATTATATTCCTATCTTTGACTAACCTTAAAACAACTATTTAATTTTTACAATGAGAAGATAAATTTGAATACTATGCTTGATTGACAACATAGTAAAAATACAGTTAAGTTCGAAAGTACTGCAATGTATAATGTGTATCACTTTCTGAACAAAATACAGAGCACCACTAGGTTTGACCTTGAATGTTAGTATAGACATTAAGATGTAAATACATCCAAATGACGAGTATCATAAATGTTAAATGCTAGCCAGATTTGATTTAAAATAAGTTCAAGTCAATTGGTTGTACTTAATTACTTAAATGTAATGTTAATAATATTCTCAAGATGACTTCTGTTAAACGTTCTGGCAATGTCCTTTAATTTATACACATAGTTCCCTTTATTATTTTAAAGAGAGTAGGAACAAAGGTTGGTGCAGAGTAATATGAATTCATTTTATTTCGTTAGGTTCTCATCAGCTGCTTACAACCTAAAATATTTGAAGTTCAACGTTATTATAGATATTGACATACTTATACAACAGAGGGCGATGAAGGATGAATATATGTAACATAATGTGGTAAAGATTTCGTTAGAGTTAATGAGGTCATAAAATGTTGTTTTGAATATATAGAGTTTGGGAGGGAAGGTTCCAGAAAATTGAAATAGTGATTAGAAATCATGGAATTAAAACACATTAGACGATTATGTAATGAAGTAACTGAAGATAGATTAATGTTAATAAAGAGAGATATGAATTGAAATTGGTCAGTTATGAATGATGTAATTATAAAATTCAGAAAGAGTTGAAATGACGTAATAAAAATAAATAAAATAAAAGGGGGTGGGGTGAATGTTACCAGGGCAAAGAAAGATTTATTACTGTTTCTTTTTGTATACAAAGATCTGGTTTTAAACGTTTGATTGCTATTGCTTCCGCGAATTTCAAAAGGTTTGAATTTGATTGTTTGTTGATCACCTTGAAGGACTTCAGTATATCGACTTCGTGTCCTGTGTCAAGGAGATGTCTTGCGACAGCGCTGCTAAATGCTTTTAGTTCGGTTGATCTCAAATTGTTCGGAATATGTTCTTTGAATCGGACGTAGGCTCTCCTTTCTGTTCTACCAATGTAACTGATTTGGCAGATACATGTAAATTTGTATACACAGTTGGTGGTAACATGAAAGGGATACCTGTCGACCTTTGATTGTGTCAAAGAACATGTCGTTTTGGACAGGGCAATCAATTTAGCTGCAGGATATTTTTTTGTCAGTGCAGTTTTTAGTCTCATATTGATTGACCCTGTGACATTATCGCCTTTGAACTCGAGTTGAATAAAAACAGGTTTTTTATTCACCGTAGTTTCTTTGGGTATTTTATCTTCACGTTTTCCATATTTCTCGATGAATTTCAATGGGTATCCGTTATTTCTTAAACACTTTTTAACATTCATAATTTCCTCTTCTATTGTATCCGCAGTACATATTCTTTCTGTTCTATGAAACAGTGTTTTGACAAGTGCCTTTTATAATTGATTGGACAAAAGCTGTTGAAATTGACATAAATACCATTCCATGTGTCTTTCTTATAAACTGAGCGTTGAACTGTGCCATCCTTTCTTCGTTTTATCGCTATATCGAGGAAATGGAACATGTTTTCTTTTTCATGTACCATAGTGAAATGAATATTTGGATGAGATTTATTGAAAAACTTTAAAAGATTTGTTGCATGTTGTTGATTATTACATAAGATGAATGTATCATCAACATACCTCGAATAATACATCATTTCATCAATCGCTCCTTTGAACTTGGTTCTTTCGAGGTTAGCCATGAAAATTTCTGCTAGGACGGGGCCTAACGGACTTCCCATTGCTACACCATCGGTTTGTCGGTATATAGTATTGTTGTTGGTATCCCTTTCATGTTACCACCAACTGTGTATACAAATTTACATGTATCTGCCAAATCAGTTACATTGGTAGAACAGAAAGGAGAGCCTACGTCCGATTCAAAGAACATATTCCGAACAATTTGAGATCAACCGAACTAAAAGCATTTAGCAGCGCTGTCGCAAGACATCTCCTTGACACAGGACACGAAGTCGATATACTGAAGTCCTTCAAGGTGATCAACAAACAATCAAATTCAAACCTTTTGAAATTCGCGGAAGCAATAGCAATCAAACGTTTAAAACCAGATCTTTGTATACAAAAAGAAACAGTAATAAATCTTTCTTTGCCCTGGTAACATTCACCCCACCCCCTTTTATTTTATTTATTTTTATTACGTCATTTCAACTCTTTCTGAATTTTATAATTACATCATTCATAACTGACCAATTTCAATTCATATCTCTCTTTATTAACATTAATCTATCTTCAGTTACTTCATTACATAATCGTCTAATGTGTTTTAATTCCATGATTTCTAATCACTATTTCAATTTTCTGGAACCTTCCCTCCCAAACTCTATATATTCAAAACAACATTTTATGACCTCATTAACTCTAACGAAATCTTTACCACATTATGTTACATATATTCATCCTTCATCGCCCTCTGTTGTATAAGTATGTCAATATCTATAATAACGTTGAACTTCAAATATTTTAGGTTGTAAGCAGCTGATGAGAACCTAACGAAATAAAATGAATTCATATTACTCTGCACCAACCTTTGTTCTTACTTCCTTTAATTTAGTCGAGATAATTTTGCTTTAAGGATCATAGTATTTTATTTCACATAACAGTTTTCATTTCAGAAAATTTTAATAGCCAGAAGGATTTTGTAAAATTAAATTGACAAACGTAAAGAAATCGAGAATCTTATCAATACACTGTGACTTAAAGGTATACTTCAAATATAAAGCATATGTGCATATATACATATCTACACTTATAATCACAGCTGATTTACATATAAAAACCCATAACTATAAACTAAACATTTTCGGGAATATCGGATTTAAGATTATACGAATAAATTAACGCTGTGAAGGTTCAAACGATGGATTTTAAAAATGAAGAAAATAATTTAATTATTTTTTGGTTAATCCATTTAAGAATGTCAATTTTAATTTGACAGACTACGAAACTGCCTTATCATACAATCTATTAGTATATAAATGACTAGATTTCTGAAAGTTAAGGCCTTTACTAAAAAGAAATGGAGCTAAACACACTGTTGTGAAAAAAAAACAGAACCATGATCTATTTAGATAGCCACACAAGTAAATAATCCAAACACACGATCAAAAATAATAATAAGTAAAAGTTCTAGCTTATTACAAAGAGAATGAAAATTTTGTATTTCGATAAGTTCTTAAAATTTGACGAAAATATGCTCAATGAACACATCAACAATATGTTGATCAAAATAACTACAAAGTTATCTAAGCAAACATTTAGTTATCTACTGGTACAAACTTGTTTGAAAGAACAAAACGAAACACTACACATTGAAAATACTTTGAAGCAATTTATAATATGGTTGCAAGATGTTATACTTACAGAGTTTATTTATATGAAACACAATCACATCAGTTGCCCACTTCTTTAGTATCATGTGTACCCCATCTCTGAACTGTAGCTCATTATATAACTACTATAAACCTATTTGTCTTATTATATTAACTCCACATAATTTCAATTTTCACTACCCAACTCAATTTTTCGATTGTGTATATTATCTGCTACATTTTGATAGCACAAATCCGACTCAGTGGAATAAGAATAATATGTATACCGGAAAAGCTGAAAGTCGAATGTCCCATTCTATGTGAGATTGTAGGTGAAAACTAATAAATTTCAAACTAAGACGAAATATCTGTCTAATGATGCCTGATGTATATATATATCAATTCATGGATCTTATCTAACGAAGAAACCAATTTAGATGTCACGAAAAACAAGTCAATAAAATCAAATATTTGTTAGGAATAGCTGTTTTTTCTGGAAAATTCAAGCCGAAATAGAAACAAACGACAGTGGAAAATCTCATCAATCATCAAACTAGCTCAACATCGGGATACATATCATATTTAGATAGACAAATATAGTACACATAGAAAAAAACGTTTAGCATGGTTTCCATCCTAAAGCGAATTGAAATAATACAAGAAAAATAACCATGCTAACTTCAGAACTATAATCAACTAATGTCAGAAGAAATACAGGAAAGTATGGTAATCCTGGGAATTTAACACTATTTATCTCACAAAACGCTTCCAATCTGCTTATTTTTTTATCAGAAAGGGATTATTCGGGAAATCTCCAAGTAAGGTATACTTACGAACACATGAAAACTAATTAAACTATTTCACTTGTCTAAATAAAAGAAAAACAATAAGGCATTTCATGTATACAAAAATAACTCCAAGTATGTGGTGCTAATTACTAAGCAGACATTAAAAATAACAATAATAACAATAATGATAAGCAAATTATCCGACACACAACTTACTTAATTAACAATTCAATAACTTGACCTAGTGATAAAGGAATTTCAACGCCCGAATCAAGAACTAATGAATCTAATCCTTTAGAATGGCATACATAAGCAGCTGTGCCTAAAAGACGATTGAATTCTTCTTCAATTTGTTCATCAAGATCACGGTTTATTAAATGACCTTGTGAGTCATATAGCGAGCAATCGGTATTGATTGGAAGCAAATTTAATGATAATTGACGTACCAATATAGCTACAGGATTTGCAGCTAAAAGAGAAACGAGAAATACATTTATACTGACAAAATAATTGTTGGTATTATTACTAGTAGCAGATAATCCAAAATAAATGAAAGGCTAATCAAAGCACAGTTCAGTTGGTTAATGAGGATTTGAAAAAAATACTTTCTTGTTGATCATGTATAACTAGCAATAAGAGGATTTTCTTTTCTTGGAAAATAAGATAGAATTGTTAGGTATACTCACTAAAAAAGGATTATCATCATTATTATTATTACTTCCGTAACTCATTAAATTTGCATTTATTAAAATTTTCTATTTGTATCTATGCAAACTATCAAACAATTATAGAATTATTCTAATTAACTTAGTAATGAAGTGTTAGCAAATATATGTTAATTAATAAGTGAATCAGCAGTGACTTAGTGGCTAGATGATTTAACTATTAACAAATAAACTGTTGATTCGGGCCCGCACTTCACTTTGGTTCAAAATGCTTAAAGAAATTAAGAAATATGACTTAGGTATAGGTAAATATATATTTTACATGATGATTACTGAGTTATTTTGATCAATTTAAGTGGTATAAATGAATAAAATATAATCTTTTTCTAATAATATTGGACGACCAACTTAGTTTACACCATACGTCATGTTTTATATCGATAATAATAATAATATTGATAGTAGTATGGAAGTGAATACTCAAAATTGTTTATACTCTGACACAAAACTTTAAATCGAGCGGAACAGATAGACCGACCGGAATACTAATTCAAAAGGGATGTGAACTAAATTAACTTATTAGAAATTAGGTTAAATTTCCAATGTTCAGAAAATCAAATAACTTATGGTTTAAATCGAATTTAAGACAATTTTAAATTAAAAAGTTATAATTAAATAATGATTAGTCGTTTATGTAAGAATCACATAACTCGAACGATGGATATCGGTAAAAACTGAGGTATTAGTGTTTGTGACTAACTGATGAAATCTGTTTATTCACTGAGTTTTTCAGGGAGTTGTACAAGTCACCAACCAACAAACAGGCAATATTTTTTTGAAGAAATATGTCAGTTTCTGGATATATACGTTACACTGAATAAAATACAATTAAATACAGACTATGTTTCCATATATAACTAAATTTGATTAGTAATATTGTAGTGGGTGAACGCTTAGATGGGGAAGATCAATTTATTATTTGATGCAAAACCACAGTGCTTTCGTAAAGTATGAAAACCACACCTCAAATACATAATTTGCACATCTTCCATCAGTTGTCCTTTACATGCTTCATGATTCCTTCAATGTTGTTTTTATTCCAATTCCTTTCTGTTTCTCTTTCAGTTTTTTTCAGTTCAATCTCAACCCTCTTTTGACAGGTGTACCACTTTTGGTTAGCATTACATACTACTTATACGTCAACATAAGTAGCACACATCACAATATGACTACGAACAGAAAACCCAAACCAAGAGTTTCTTAGCAAGACTGGATTAACTCAAAAATATCTATCACATCTACATAAAGACTAGATAATTATTGGTAGCATCGACCATCAATTCACTAGTTGACATCAGTCTATAAAAATCTGTTGATCCTGTTTGATGTAAACGATCATTGAAGCTTTGAGACAAATATATGACAGTTCGTCTAAGAAAAACGGGTATTCAGCGATTACAAAAAGCCCACCGGGACCTGATTTTATATTTGCTAACATTCATTACAGTGCCATGTCTGTTACATCGTGGAAACATATTCTCCCAGATATTCGAACGGACATCATTAGATGTAGCATACAGAGACGTTGCCACTGTTGAGTTATTATCACCACAGATATAGAGTGAATGATACAGCATGTAGTAAAAATCAATCCTGAATAGACAACGATTCTATAAATTGGGAACAAATAAACACTGAATTAAAGCAAACTTAAGCAAGAACAAAATTTGACATATGTAGAGTTGTATACTCACATAAACCTGTGACAACCATGGCCCCAAGTTCAGCTTGATATCCACCTTTTCTACAAGTCCATATTCGACCTCCAACACGATCCTGAAGAATAAAAGTGATACTTAATTTGAAATATTGCTACGTTAAGAGTAATATCTAATTGTAAAACTGAATCCTCGAAATTTGTTACGACTACTGACGTAATCACATGTCATATAAAAAGAAATATTAAGTATATTCCATTGATATCAATTTTAACATGTAGAAAATGGGTGGCAAAAAAATCAAGTACATAATGAGATTATATCTTGGGATCATTATTACCATTAATGAAGAGGTTTTGAAGAGTACGTTTTAAACTATGGGTTGTATTTGTCATAGATTGACATTTAAAGAAACATTAAAAAAGCAGAATATAGCAACTGATGTTAACACTTATCTGCGACAGACTCTACTTCGATGATAACTGACTGACTGAGTAGCAACAACCTCACTAGGAATTGAACCCTTACTAAAATTAAATATGCTTATTCAACAGAAAACTGATCGCGTTAAAGAATATTGTAATTTTATAAAAGAAACAACAGGGAAAGTAGTTACTGAAACATACACGAGATTCTAAAATAGTAACTTTGGCACCAAAATAAGTCAGTTGTCTTGCTGCAATTAGGCCAGAAATACCAGCACCAATTATAATAAAATGAGGAGTTGTCAGTGACGTAGATGATGAACTAAGTGGTAATGTACTGGCAGAAGGAGAATTGTTAGCACGACGCGTTGCTGCTAGAGCTTTCTCAGCTGCAGCTCTTCTGGGTGTTAGTTGGACATCTGATTTGTCTAATATTTCCATAGGCGATCCTAGGAAAGTTGCAGTGGTAGCAGGATCAGCAGTACGAGATGAATTCACATGTGTTAAGGGTGGAGATATAATTTTAAATATGCCAAAGTTGATATATCCATATCTAGACGAAAAACCAATGAAAAAAAGGTAAATCATCATTAGAAGTCAGTTGAGTTAATCAATTTGTCTTCACTGGCACATTATGTATTGGGTTAACGACTTGACATTTATCACATAATTAACCTATTGGTATTTTTTATGGCTACTTTCCACATTTAATGACAAACATTGATGTTTATTATCACAATGCACCAGTTAGCTCGAAATTAAAACTATGGTCTAACTTATACGCCCTTAAACTCGCCATAGATACCTTATTTTATGAAGTTTAGGGTTCATCGATCTTCCGTAAAAATACTTCCTGTTTGTAGTAATCGGTTCGTCTTATCTTTGTTTCCACTAATGTCCCTAGAGGTCATCAGAACCTCCAAAGAAGCATAAATTACCATGTATTTTGGTAATCCCAGTAACGATAACAGAACAGCTCACAATATTTCCTCATTAATCGAACCTTATAAGACCTATTTACCAATGATTACTTATTTAATACAATTTAGGAATATAAAATGTATTAATTTATTCTTATTTTCTAATTATCATCTTAAAAACATTCTTCAAAATCTCCAACATTTTCAGATACATATTAAAATAGCGATTTCCTCAAAACAAATGATATTATATTAAGCTAGCAGATGAGATTAAATTACCATATTTTTACGGACTGCAATCTATGGTACACCCTTTATCACACGGTTGAAAATACATAGCCCTCTCAGCAAATACACTAAGTGGACAATGAAACTTTTCTTTAAAACGTGAGAATAATCCAAGAAGTTTATAAAATGGTAAGAAACATTTGTGGAGATAACACATTAAAGAAAATAGAGCCTCTCGATTGAGCCGATACATTTAGTAAGAGCCGTAAGGACTACGACGATGACACGAGGTCAAGATGACCATCCAATATCTGTGGTCTCTTGTGCTTAACGATTGTCGATTTGCAGTCCGATGGCTTTTGGTCAACTGGACTAGAGATAATTGTCTATGCATGTAATTTTGTTGAAACACCAAATGACGTAGCAACTAGATAGCCTAAATTCCATAGTCGTTCAGGGACGTTTGAAATAATGGAAACGAAAGTGGGACAGGTTTTTTACCACAAAGGGGGAACAGCTTGAAGAGGATAAGTTTGTGTTTTAAATAGACTTTTCCCTAATTCATTTCACGCGTTTGTTTGAAAGAATACATAGATGACGATTAGTCTTATCGTACTAATATGAATGTTTCAAAGAGTTTTAAGTTTTTAAAGAATGTTGAAAACTTTACATTTGAAGACTAATAACAAAATTAGAAGTTTCCATTAATCTTCCGAAAAAAAAACGATTTTCCTCCAATGGACAATACAAGCCTTTTAGGTTAACAGAACTAAAGGAGGACGTTGAACATTTATTGTATATTATTTATCAGTTAAAATTCACACCAATGTGAAGGTAAAACCCAAAAGTCACTTTGTTAATTTAGTGGCATTCAGCATAATGAGGAATGCGATCGGATAGGCTTTTAAATACTATTTAATTTTGTAAACTACCAGTCTACCATTTTTCTGACGCGGGATTACTTTTTAAATGTTTTCAAGCAGTTTATAAAAGCTGTACGATACTTCTATACCACCAATGTAAGAAACGTACTTCATCCTAAAGCCCGGTTTTAGCTAGCAACAAACTTAGATTATATAAGTGTTATTTTAAATTTAGTGCATTTGTGGTTCAACTAAAAGATTATGTGATACTTATCGCCGGTTCTACATTGTCACTGACTGACTGACTATCGCCGGTACACTAACAGGCCTGTTGACACTTCTGAGTTGAGTCAAGTTAAATATTTACTTATTTTTGTCCTGGTAGCCTCATGAACAATATCTTGTCACATATCACACTAGTTAAGTCGGATATGAACAATAAACTAATTTGCATGGCTAGTACGGTACGCGAGATTTATATATAGTCAGGGGATTTAATTGACGTGAAACACGGTTAGATAAGGTATGAGTAAGATGCAGGGAGAAATTTAAAGTTACTACATGAACTATGATCAGGAGTCGAGAAGTAACTTAAAACATAGTTTGAAGGAATTACTGGTAAGAGCATAAATAAAGACGAAATGGGTTTTAAAGGATAAAAAGAAGATACCTCTCACCTTTCCAAAAACAAAACAACTAAATAAGTCATCCGTTCCAAATTTGCTTTTGCAGTAGGCGTACCCCAGGGTGAGTAATTACTTGGGAGAGTTAAACTTGTTAGATGGCGTTGAAGAGATCGAGAAAGCTCTTTGCTATGTCTGACACGACCGACACCAGAAATGTTTTCCTCACAAACAGAAGAAGCAGACGAGTTGGATCCTTGGTGTACTGGTAAAGGAGCAGTCAAACCAGAATCGATCATCACCCGTAGATTCTCGACTGACATATTATTCATCACGTATATGAACAGCCTATTAGGCGTAACCTGTGTACACGAGTCTTCTGACCACATTAAACACTGCAAAAGAATTTATTGTACAAAACAATTTCCAGCATAGACATAATTATTATTTAATTTCCAATATACGACTAAATACCAATCCACAGAAAAATCACAGAAAATCCGAACCGGAATTTACCACCTAGAAAACATTATACTATGTTATCATTTTAAAAATTTGGTGTCATTTCCCAGTCAGGACATAAGATATGAAATCTTATTAGGCTTTAGAAGAGTAAAACTTAGTAAGCATTGTAAACAAGGAAATTACTCAGAAGGTTACCGTAGTTATGATGTCTTTTTAGTCACATAAAGATATGACCAAGACGTGATTCAAAATACAAATTAACACGTTAAATAGAGAAAGCCTTGACGAATAAAGCTTCCAAGTCACAAAAACGTACATCATAGTATTAGAACGCTGTCCAGGCAACAAAATTTATGATGCATAACTGCAGATCACCACCTCGATTCCTGACAGCCTAGTGTTACAGATAAGGAATAAAAACATCTCTCGCTACGAAATGGTTGAACCACTAACAATTCACAATAGCACTTGAAACGGTAATAATAGCTGTGAGAAAGTTTGTAATGTGTAACTAAACTAAGAAGGGGGTGTAAGTGTGTACGATACCTTCAGTAATCAGACCTTGCGATTTCTAGGACCGAAATCTAATAGTCAAAATCTTGAATAACAGACTGGTATGTACGAAAATGATACCCCTGAAGTATATCTGAACTTCAAAAAACTGGGTCCCCGGCTGTTTTGTAATGACGGAGGATTTACATTTAATTATAAAAACGATTGAAAAAATGGTACCGGCACATAACCATTGTAAATATAAACAATGGAAAACCGATACCCCAGTTCTTTCAATATGTTAGGAAATATAACCGCACTGTTGGTTTGAATATTATATATATACAATGATGAGACGCATTCTAAGTATTTATATTTGAGCAATCACATCAGATATGTAGCATTTAAAGAGATAGCTCCCAAAGTATAGGAAATGGCCTACTAGTTCATGTTTTAAGATTAGGCAGAGTGAATTTTTAAACCAGATTTGCAATATTTTTACGCTAAAGAATTAAAATGCACGTCGCCATTGTGACTTTCACTAAGTTTCTAAAAACAGGAACTGTTGTATCACTAATCCAAAAATTATGATAGGCAAATTGATAAGGGAAATCCATCTCATCGAAGTTCTTTAAAAAGACAAATGTGAGAAAGGTTTACAATGGTCAGGGATGGAAACGAAACAATAAACTGGAAAGTTAGGGTTTTGTAACGTACATATATAATTAACCACTCTTAAAAAGACAATCAAATAGTATAAGGCAAAAATATGAAAAGAACTGAATATGTTTATGCTAAACTCAATTTAGGAAAATAACTACTAGAGGAATCGATCTAAAAATATAAATCCACTTGTATTTGAGAAACGTAGGATAAGCTTTCAAGCATCGAACTTTCTGTGATAATAAAATGAGAACATAAAACTTATTTTTATCACAAGATAAAGATGTACACAATTTTGCCATTATGCTCCGATCTTAAATGTTTTCAATGTTTCGAAGGATAAAAAACAGAGGCTATTCCAAGACTCGTTATCTGCAAAATAAGTTATTGTAAGCATTTCCATGTAAAACTTACTGCAAGATTTCGGACAGCAATATATGACTCCTTTAAAGAATTTGAAGAACTTTCTAAAAAAGGGAACATTTGAGTTTCTTCTGTACAAAGTTCTTTCGCAGGAAGGCGACAAATTTGCGAGGCTTTCTCAGCAGGCGTCAGAGTATCTTCAGGTTCTTCTTCAACAGGTTCATCCTCCGCACTTTCACTTTCAGCATCATCCACATCGATATCACCCTCGACCAGACGCCTCCCGGTAGTATTGTTTTCTAACTCAGAATCTTCAAGCTCGTCATCGTCTTCATAAACCTCTACCCCACATTCATCTGACTTTTTGCTGGGGCTAGATTTAGGTGGATTCAATTTTGGTGCTTTGGTTTCGTCAAGTTCGTTCATCTCTTCCTGCAATTTAAGCAAACACGTTTTGCAAGAAATTAATTCAACACCAGCCATGGACAGCTATAAGATGGTGCAGAAAATTCGTACAGTTATTGAGCCTATCTTGTAGATCTTAAATCAACGTACGTCACTCCAAGTATATATATATATATATATATATATATATATATATATAATTTTACTTCACACTTCATAGTTTCACTACGATACAAAATACACATTCGTAAACCTAAGTAACGAACTACGAATGATACGAGGCGGCGAATCCTTATAGCAATCAAAACCATAAAGCTGAAACTTCAAATAAAAAATAAACCCTCTAGATCTGGGAAAAATGAAGCCATGTTAACCTCAAAGATTGCCTTCGTGTTACACTGCATATGGACTACAACGCTCACCCCTTCGAGAAAGCAATAAGACCCGGATGCACCCAGAAAGTCAAAAATTAAATCAAATTACAACGTAGAGATGCAGCTAAAGAATTTGCTGAAGACGAAAAGCACTACGATCTGGAATAGAAACAAAAATAATTACATCTTTATTTGTGGCAGCACATTCAGCATGGCTTGGAACAAGCATTGTTTGGACCGGCGCATGAGATGGGCGGAAGCCTCGTTTAACACTGCGACCTCGAGGCATGTCTTTGAAAACTGGTTCCACTGGAGTTACGGAACGACCTTCAAAGTGAAAACGTTCAAATTGGCGAACTCATGACAATCATTTAAACTAAATTGCACAATTACAGACGTGTGAAATCAACATTTACGCATTGGTTGCTTGAACATGGACCAAGTTTAGCTCTTGCATTTCCCTGAAAGGCGTTTTGGACTAATTACCACTCAGTTCCTCAATCTAAAAACAGAGTCTTCATTTTGTGCTAAACAAGTCTTCGGTTTTCAGTAATAAGGATAGGTCTATCAACCCATATTAATCCTTGCAGTTTTTACCACTGTTGAGGCTCGATCGCGTTTTGAACATATCAAGAGAAGGTGCTGATGTTACATGTTCTGGTAGATAATTTCAGTAATTCAATACTCGGTGCAAGAACGAAACTCCAGACATAGACGATTCCATCTCTGTTTTTGATTTTTCTTCGAATGTCCTCTCAAACGATCAGTCCTAGATGGAAAGAAGATGACTCATATTAATATCAACTTTATTGTTCAGTATACGATAAACCAATATTAGATCACCCCATATTCTACGGTAAGATAACGGAAATAAGTCATGGTGTCTCAGTCTCTCTTCATGAGATAGGCCAGATAGACCTTTTACCATTTTTGGTCCCTCGTCGTTGAACTCGTTCCAGAACATCCGGCTCATACTTGAAACAAGGACTCGCTGCTTGAATCCCATACTCTAAATGTGGTCGCACGAAAGCCTAGTATGACAATCTAAACATTTCTTCATCCTAATACGGGAAAGACTTACGAATAGACCTAATACTCTATGGCCTTTTGCAGCGGCAGCTTTGCAGTGACTGGTAGTTTTGAGATCACTGCTTACTATGACTCCTAAATCTTTATAACTTCTTACTATGGGTAATATGAATCCACATATTGTGTAGTGATACGAAACATCATAGTTATTTCATTGCATCGCCACACTCTTATAGGATTTACCTCTAGTGACCACCTGTCCATCCATACCACCAACGGGTCGAGATCATCCTGTAATACAATTTTGCCTGACATGCTGCGTATGGGTCTTCAAATTTTTGTGTCATCGGCAAAGAGTAAAACGGATGATTTTGCTATAGTTGGTAGTCTATTTACAAAAAGTAAAAAGATGTGGTGTTTGAATGAACTAAGGATAACTTTGTACTTCTTGAATGCTTGATTTGGAATTCTAAACCCAGTACATTCGTTTGTCCATATATAGTACTTCTTGATCCGATTACGTCATTTCTGGGATTCTTAGTGCATACTATAATTCAAATACTCCAGATTATCACAAAAGAGAAAGGAACCAAGGATTGTGCCTCGGTAAACTCCATTTTTTAAGATTTTTACAACGAGAGAGCTCCATTAACCCTTATCCTTTGTCTTGTAGTGACTCACATTTATCACGAGAACACGACTGGTTTAATAAAAACAATTATTATTATAACCAACTGTACCAGTGTTTGTTTTAATGTGCTTTTGTTTGACTGTGCTAATGACAGCTATATTGTACTTCCATTCTTATACATACACTTTGATTGTGACTTCACGCGAATTCGGTTACGTTCTGTAACCAAGCTTGTATCCTGGCACGATCTCGGTATCCTAACGATACCACGCGATCGCCAGCAAATATATCTCGACTTGGTCCATTAACTGCCTTCTGATATTTGGCTTCTCAGCGATTTTATGGATCTATTTGGTTACGTTCAACCTTCGCTTCTGATTTACTTGGCACGTGTTTCTTTGTAGCGGTGTTCATAGTTAATCCCAACTCGACGCCACGCTACAGTCTTTTGTCATGGAGAAAGCTAATTATCCAATCTACGAATGTATAAAGGATTCCAAAACATTCCAGTTTTTATTGAAGACCAGAATTGGAGACCTTATCGAAAGCTTTGTTTAGATCTTTGATAACCACTTCTACAGTAATATTACGATCTTTCACCGCAATGAGAAGATTTGTCAAACATAACAGGTCTCTCCGAAAACTATGTTGCTCCCTGGATAAAAGATTATGCTCTTTCACATAGTTTATAACAGCTATCCGAATACTTTTCTACATTTCTTTTACAACTGCACTAGTTAGGCTGACGTCGATAATTATCAACTCAATCTCTACTCTCTGCCTTATACACCGGACTAATTATGGCGCCTTTCCAGTCCCTGGGTAGTCTGGACTGCCACAGAGACATGTAACAGCTCAGGTTGGTTGGTTAAGAGTTGACCCCAAACAACCAAGCTTATACCAAAACAGTATTGTTCAAGTATTCATTCACTTCCTTATTTTTCATAAGCGTTATATTCCCTATTATCTTGAATGTTGAGAGCCTTTGTTTGTCTGAACAGATAATCCCACGCTCCACTGTGACTGCGCGAAGATCGAAATAAAGACCTATTCACTACTTCTCTGGTTTCTTCTATCAATAGCACGAGGGTTACCTTAAGGCACGAAACTGGTGAGCCCTTTTTGAACACAAATTTAACCTCATTTCTGTTATTAACATTTTTTTTACTTAATCGTAAAAGTAGACCTGATTATCCGTAAACTAATTTGAGTATATAACTAGTTTATTCCGTATTATCTTAAGTTATTCGTGTTATAGTAACCACTTTTTGTGCTAACTTTATTGCTATATTTGTCACATACCTCATGTCAGACTCAATAGAAACCCATAATCTGGAGGATTTGTCACCAGTGGAGATAGACACTGTTATGACTACGAAATCCCGACTTCCAGAATTTGATCGTAGTGATCCTGAGTTGTGGTTTGCTCAACTAGAGCATTATTTCACGAGACACAATATCAAATCTGAAGGGATTCGCTTTAGAGACTTGTGTTCTATCCTTCCTCCTTCAGTCGCCAAAGAAGTCCGTGACTTGATTTTAAGTCCACCATCACCACAACCATACACCATCTTAAGACGAGAGATAATGAACCGTTTATCATTATCAGATAGTCAAAGAATCCAAAGACTTTTTCAAGGTGAAACACTAGGTGATCGGTCGCCGTCACAGTTTTTACGTCACCTCCAAGTCTTAGTGGGTGATAACACAGTGGGTGAAGCAGTCCTAAAACAAGGATGGATACAAGCTCTCCCATGCTACGTCCAACACTGTTTGGATGCACAGGATCCTGAAACCTCATTATCTCATTTAGCGCGTATAGCCGACAGAATAATGGAAAGAGGTCCTCCAACTGGATCAGGCACAATAAATCACACACAAAAAGTAGAATCAGCAAAAGACCCCGTAATAGAAGGACTCATTGCGAGTGTTAAGAGTCTCACTGAGGCTGTCACCAGAATGCAAATGGGTCATAGAAACAGGAGCAGGTCACCACAACGACCACGATCCAAGTCACAAATGTCCAGACAATCTGGGCAGTTTTGTTGGTACCACTGGAAGTTTGGTGTCAACTCAACCAAGTGCATGCAACCATGCGCCTGGCCTAAGCATAATTCTAAGACAGCGGGAAACGAGTAACCCCTCCCCAGGTCGCGACGACTGAGGAGGGGCGCCTAAACAGTCGCTTGTTTTATGTTAGAGACAGAAACTCGGGCTTGAATTTCTTGGTGGATACTGGCGCTGCTCTTAGCATCATCCCTCGAAATAAAACTGAGATTAGTCGAGAAACATCATCAATTACACTTCAAGCTGCAAATAAAACTAAAATTGCGACATTTGGGCAGAAAACTTTAACCCTAGATTTGGGGTTCAGGAGGCAATTCCCTTGGGTTTTCACGGTAGCCGACTAGATCTGGCAATACTGGGGATGGACTTTCTAGAGAGATACGAATTTCTAGTTGACACCAAGAAACGGCGATTAACACTAAAAGAAACTTCGTATTACACAAAAGGCAAAGAAAGTCACATCAGCTCTCTTAACTTGATTCAAACTCCCCCAGTAACAACAGCGAAATTCCAAGATATACTCGCGGAATTTCCAAACTTAACTAAACCAAACCCACAGCCTTCTAAAGACAAACTAAAAGTGAGTCACACTATCAAAACCGAAGGTGCACCGGTGTTTGCAAAACCCAGGAGACTAGCACCAGATAAGCTCAAAATCGCTAGGGCCGAGTTTGATTATATGCTACAACTGGGTATCATCCGTCCCTCTGATAGTCAATGGGCATCCCCTTTGCATATGGTCCCAAAGAAGAATGAAGGTGACTGGCGACCGTGCGGGGATTACAGAGCCCTAAACCGTCAAACCGTACCTGATAGGTACCCAATACCTCATATCCAAGATTTCACCAACGGTTTACAGGGTATGAACATATTCACTAAAATTGACTTAGTCAGGGCATATCACAATATCCCGGTGGCTGATGAAGATATTCCCAAGACAGCTATTACTACACCCTTTGGCTTATTCGAGTTTGTACGCATGCCATTCGGCCTGAGAAATGCGGCACTTCCTCAGATATTCTATTCCACATTCTCACACTCTTCTCTTGAAAGCACGCAGTAAACCGTCAGCGATAGTTGTAGAATAGATCACATGCTACATAATATATGACAAGCTATAAATGAGGAGACATCCATGGACTATCGTTGACAGCGTTAGTCGTCACTGATTGTAAGTCATAGTGAGCGAGTTGATAATTTCCCTTGGATGAGAAATAGAACTAAGGTGTTTTCGATAGATAGGTTAATCGAACCGACGTTCCTACGGAAGTCGATTCTGGGGGAAGCTAAGTAACAGCTCATTTGGTTGGTTAAGAGTTGACCCCAAACAACCCAAGCTTATACCAAAACAGTATTGTTCAAGTATTCATTCACTTCCTTATTTTTCATAAGCGTTATATTCCCTATTATCTTGAATGTTGAGAGCCTTTGTTTGTCTGAACAGATAATCCACCTCCACTGTGACCGCGAAGATCGAAATAAGACCTATTCACTACTTCTCTGGTTTCTTCTAATCATAGCACGAGGGTTACCTTAGGCACGAAATATCCTCTTGTTTGCGTATCTCTCTTTAAAGTTCCACATCATCAACAAAAGTAATAAGACAGACTATACCTGTTGTGGA